AAGAGTCAGGGGTAATTCTGAGCTCTGAGCTCGAATATGCCCACGCCTCTGCCTTAAGGCCACTATCGTTGCCACAATGTTTACCCTAGCACTGATTTTTTGAAGTAAACAAAACCAAACAGCCTGTTCCAGGGTTGCATTCTGTGCCCGAATCCGGACACATCAAGCGCGTACAATACCGGTGGCGAGAGTTGTCGTTCAAACTCGATCACACCTGACGGAACCGTGAAAACCCCTCCACAACAGCAGACGGCACCGTAAGTGATCCAAACAAAGTTATTTTGCGAATATGATATCTTACTCTTGCCCACCCCAACACGTTTTCAGACCACCTGCTATGGAACCAGTGGCGATGCCCACTGGCGTGCCGCCTCGTTCACCACGACTGCTGCATCGGTCGAAGAATATGCCGCTTTCACCGACAACAGAAGGATTTGATGATCAGGCAAATGTTGGCGCCGTTCGAACACCTGCATCGAGGCGGAACAGCAGGCATTGTGAGTTTTTCAACAGCAGCTGAAAAAGCGTAAAAAATGGCACAATGAGCCTTTTTGTGGGGTCTTCGAACAGGCTTTGCTTTTATGAAAACGCTATGGCTCACCTTACCTAGGGCTATGAAGAAATAGCGGGAGATTCCCAGTGTTTATGCCTCAGCATCACGTACGGAGGTATTGTCGCAATTCGTAGATTCCACCCCCACGCAGCCGGGCAGTTTCCCGCGCCTGCGGGCGCTGCGCCCCGCTCCCCATGGCAAGTATTCTAAAAACCAATTTCTATCGCGCATGCAAGAAGACAGTGTTTCGCAAGATAAATAGATTGGTCGCCCTTTTGAAAGTAGGACTCTCAAGACCAAGCTTTGCAAAGGAACAACCCCGCGTATTACTTTCACATTTAGAGGTGGGACTAGGGGGGTGTTTTCCCTCTAGCAGCGACAAGAAGGGGGTGCGTAACTCGGGACTGTGAACAAAAAATAAAGCACGGAAAATAACAGCCCACTGCCCTAGGATATGAATCCCATTAGCAATCCGCAGTTTGGTACCGTGGCCCAAGCACTCTACCTCCAGAAATACGCCTCTAATGCACGCTGATTAACAATAGGATTTTTAACGACCGTCAAGTGGCGATTATCATGCTTTTTTCGATGGTTCTGGCAATCTCATTTTTCACTGGAAGTCGGTCATTAGGGGCGGAGTCTGGAGGCGGAGTCACTGAAAAAAAGGAGGAGCCACTGAACCTATATTGCGCTACAGCGCCCCTCCCATAGAAGTTTTTGCCGCGAAACCGGTACAAGTTACCTGACGATGGTCTACCTCCTGAACGCCATCTTTTGCGACTTCGATACCTGATCGCGGACGCGTGCTTTAGAAAGCCGCAATCACTGATTCCCTCGTTTCTCCGCCCTTGCTAATCAATTCCACTTCCATTTATCAACTAATCAATTAATCCAGCGCACAGGGAAGGATGCACTGATTCAATCAACAGCGTGGTGCGGGCGCGGGAGGCCAATTCAATGCGTAAAACTCCACGCGATGCGGGACATTACAGCCATGTTGCGGTGACGCCAGGGCACGTACTGCCGTTGGGAAAAATTTTTGCAAAATATTGCAATATACGACTTCCCCTCTCAATTTCCGTCTCCCGGTATTGTGCCCCGGCCCCGACCTTCCCACTCAATGTCTTTCGCTTCTTAACGTTCCTAAACTCGTGTATCGAAAGACATTGTGATGTAAATTTTCGCTGCTTCATAGCAAAGATGAGGCAGCTCCCACCAACACCAAACCATCTCCTTCCCATAAAAGAGATGGTTTGGTGTTGGCGTGGGACTTCTGCTCCTTGATGACTAAAAATTTCAGTAACACAAGAGCGAGGCTATACTGATCATCGCAACCGTCTGCCCGCACACTCCCCTGTTTTATACGGACGAGATCCAATGCATCGGTAGTCGATACACGCGGATATCAAACGTCGACTGCATTGCTCCTTCGTTCAAAATACTGCCCACCAAGGACAGTTTGGAAATGCGCAAAACGATTCAGGTGAGATTGATTAGTGTAGATTGATTATTGGTGCGCTTCTCTAGTTTTTTGTCATCGTATCACCCGATTTGTCAGGGGGGGGGTATAAGACGCATTTCACGGTGCAGTTAGACGACGGTGGGTGGGGGAGGGCATTTTGCACTTTCGCTACTTCCCATCGACGTGTCGACCTATCTAGGCAGCCTCTTCTCGAGTTGACAGGTTTTACCATGATGCTAGATGAGCTTGCTCCAGCTTCACAAGAGTTCACAGGTTTCGCCAGAGTGAGACTTGTAAACCGGAACTAGGGAAGCAATGATAGTAAAATGCCCCCCCCCCCCGTCGTCAAACTGCGCTCATTTCACAGTCGCTCGCGACAGGGCGCGCGAAAAAGAGGTAGACACAGCACGGGTTATCCTGTATTTTTTTTTGCATGGCTTGATCTTACACCCACTTTTCCGACACCCATTATTAATATAAAACAATAATACAAGTAAGAAAAACGCGCAAAGTGGAGAGAGAAAGAACCATTTTGCGGCGTTCGCATCGATGAGGCGTTATATTCATGAACGTTAAGTGAAGAGGATACCACAACAGATCATTGAAAATGTCTGGAAATTTAAGAAATTTCCAGGAAATTTTTCCAGAAATTTTCAATGATCTGTTGTGGAACAATTCTAAGGCGAACTTAATAGGGCACAGCACTATTGAAGTAAAAGACACGTTTCAGGATACCCTCACTATCGATTGTGATTCGAGAACAAAACAAACCAAATCACGGACCAGATATTACTAAACAGCCCAAGCTTCCAATGCCTAAGTAAGTTCACGTGCGGGTTGAATTTTTTTGTTGTTGTTTGAACATTCAGAGTTTCGCCGAAGTCTTAGAATGCGTGGCGGTTCATGCCGCCGCGCAAAATAGCCGCTCGCCATAGAGGACGATATTGCACATCAACTGGTTACCTATCAGATGCAGTAAGCGGCTAACGCCCAGGGTTCAGCGCTAAAGATATGACCCATAGAATCTCAGGTGCTGCTGTGCTTGGAGGGGCTCTTTACACTTTTGCTAGTTCCTTTTGTTGGTTCTGACAGGTTTCACATTGGTCAGACTTGTAAACTCCTGTGAAGCTGCAAAGCTGCTCGATGGAGCCACTTTGGTCACAAGAATTTGCAGGTCTTCACATGGTGACCTGTACAAGCTTAGCTGAGTACCATTCGGCGCCCCCACCAGGACGAAGTGCAGCGCTTCTTATTCTCAATACTCTCTTTTTGAATCCTTAACTTGCCTCGTCGGGGACATGGTCTTCTTTCGAGACTATCGCACGCTAATTATCTGCGGACATTCCACGATGACCGGATGGGCGGGGAGGCACATCATAGTGCACCCTTCTAATACAGTAAAAAAGGAGGGGCGTGTTAGTGTGGGATCCACGATGGCTGTGAGCCTTCACCCATTTCTCTGCCGATCCTATTATCGAGGATTGTAGCTGGAGTTTGGCTTTTGAGTTCTTGTCTTTCAACACTTAAGCACCACTCAACATGGAACTCTGCTGTCGAATTCAAGATGATTTTCAGGTATTTCCGGAGTATTCAAACGAAAGAAAAGTTGTACATAATCGAGAAACCAGTAGTAGAAGCGAACGAAATTAGTGACGACCATGGAGTTGCTGCAGGGCCATCGGACAAAGCTCCAGAGCGGCCCAACAATACAAGCGACACCATCGTGTATAAGTGGAAGGTAAGATTGAAAGCTGGTGAATCAGTCGATTCCGGTAATGCCCCATGTTGACTGATAGTGTATGTCACGGCAATGTTCATCGGAAAGTCACTCCGAGCACCTCGCTTGAACGTAACGTCAGCTGCGCTTTCGATAGGATATTACCTTTTTGAGGGAACTGTGGTCATGTTTTTGCCGGCACAAGTCATTTCATGGAACTATCCGGTGAAAAGCGCATCCTACGCCATGTTCGAATAAGGTGCGCAGCCACGCCCTCCCCATTTCCGAGATATGGAGTGTACCTGTGTGTGTATTTGCGCCAAAGTTGGCGTTACATCTAGCATTTGTTTCAGGTTAAGCGACGATGTGACGGTTCACGATACGTCGTGAAGCGACCAGCTCGAAATCAAATTCTGAAGAAACGAGCTGCACAGCTTATCCGAGAACGAACAGGCATCAGCACCGATGACGACGCAATGAGCGAGCTGAAAGTGAGTTTTGATTTTATTTGGAGAAATGCAATATACTTAGAAATTTAAGATCAGTGGGAACACCATTACCACAGTAAATCGCATGGGTTAGGATGAGAGAGACAGCAAGTAAATCTTGAGGTAAAAATACCCGAGATGTATAAGTAAAGGGTATATCGAAATATGCTGGACGATAAT